GCTAGCATGGCTCGTTATCAGGGATGATGAGGATTATAGTCCAACAACATCTGCAGGACCTGAACTACTTAAATTGGCTTCCACATCACATGACATAATATAATTTTTGCTTGGCCAGAATTTTTGAACTGGCCAAATGTTATTTTTGACTGCTCCTCACCCCCCCCCTTTTTAAAAAAGAGCCCTACTGACTTGTTCATGCATATTGTGAGGGATGCGGACCATGTGGATAACCAAGATATGGTTAATGCATCCTTGTGTGAGAGAATAATCCACTGCCTTGAATGAGTCCCATGTTCATCATTTTAGTTTGGTACTGTGGTGTGTATAGTTCAAACCTCATACCTCTGGAATAAATTTTAATTTGAATGTATTTTTGAAATTATATTTTTAATAAGAATTAAAAATTTCAAGAAGTATTTTTAGATCATTGAAATGAGTGGGAGGAATAGCATCACAATGTTTGGAAAATGATATTGAAAACTGGACCTAGCCAGTCTGTGCTGTAAGTATACATGATACCTTGTTGAACTATTAATGGACAGCCTGAACAAAATACAGGAATTCAACGTTTAAACCAGTAGAAAATGTGACATAAACCTTGGTTATCAATCAAGTGTAGAATTGCTTAATAATCCTTAAAATTCATTTTATAAAAATATATATAATTTATAGCAAGACTATAACAAAGTAAAGTTGCTTCTGAATGTGAATCCAGAAATTATATTCAAGTAATCAAAGTAGTCTTATAAACTCTGGTATTGTGAATTTTTAAAAAATCCATGCAAAATACATTTGTAGCTTCCTGGATCTGAAGACCCTGCTAGGTGTGACTTGAGTAATTTGTACATTACACCTAATTTGCTTGACTGGGAGTTAATTATTCTTCTTGGATATTTTGTGCTACCCCTCACTTCCCATCCCAGCCTTAGGCCTGGAGCTGGAGAGGGAAGCCAAGGGTTTTGTCCTCACCTTGCTCTAGGTTTAGGAAGTTCAGTGTGGGATCAAAATCAGGGCTCCACTCTTTGGAAGAAGGATATTGTCCTGGTAATCACACATTTTGGTTGGCTGCTAAAGCCAGCTAAAGTCAATGTACCCTCTATAAGAGACCTTAAATGGTACAATTAATATTTGTATAGAATTTTGGAGTGCTCAGAGTACTTGCTGAAATGGTTTATAAACTTCAGCAGATGTTTCAGTGGATTCTTTTTATTGTTGATCTGCTGCAAAACTGCAATATAATGTTGAATATGTCTAATATGTTGGCTGTGTACCGTTACTACTTTTGATATTGCAATTTATATATGTAATTATCACAATGCTATGAAACAAAAAAGTCAAGACTACCTTATGTCGTTTTATATTACACTTTGTTTCTAATTCCCTCCTGTAATGATAACAACTTGTAAACAACAGCATTTATTACTGCAAGGTACATAGCTAGCAGGCAGTGGATCAGACATACGTTTCCTGGCTAGCATGTTGATTGCTGTTGTCACCAAGGTAGTCATGCTTATATATAAACCTGGCACATCATTTGAAAGCTGGATGGTGAACAGAAATCAGAGTTTTAGTACATACAGTATTTTTAAAAAATCTACTTTTATCTTGTCTAACCAGATTTTTATAAATATATACATATAGAAGTTCAATGAAGTAGTGTTTTAATTTTAAATGCCATTTTCATCTAATGAGTACTGACAAACTGAAAAGCCTGGTCGAGACATAATGTTAAACTTTGGTTTAGTGTTTCTGATACTGGCCTTGGGTTTGCAAGCTCCCCTCCTCTCTGGCATAGCTGACAGAAGGAACTGGGAGCGCTTGTTTTAAAATTAAATTGAGTTTTTTCATGTCCAATCCAAAGGAACTCTAATTGGTTTAGCCTATGACTGGTGAGCAAGCCGAGGTAATTTTAACCTGGGTTCTTTCCCCTTTGCAAAGTTAGCAGATGAAACAAAAAAAAAATCCTTCCAGTAGCACCTTAAAGACCAACTAAGTTAGTTCTTGGTATGAGCTTTCGTGTGCATGCCACTTCTTCTGAAGGCACTTCTTCTGAAGAAGTGTGCATGCACACGAAAGCTCATACCAAGAACTAACTTAGTTGGTCTTTAAGGTGCTACTGGAAGGAATTTTTTTTGTTTTGACTATGGCAGACCAACACGGCTACCTATCTGTTAGCAGATGAATTAACTTGCTGTGCCGAGTGGTAGTATATCTGACTATGCTTTGTTGTCTCCATACGAAAACTGTGATTGCATTCAGATGTAAACTATACTTTGTTGTTATGAGAAAAAACTTAGAGGTCTAGCTCACACACTTCAATCCACCTCTCCTCTGGTGCAGCCACGGAAATTTCTGCTTCAGTTTTTTAGATTAATTGCTGTTGCCTGAACCCTAATATGTGGTTCAGATAACTACTGTAGTGGAAACAAACCAGCCTCACAGATTATGTTCTGAAGTTGGTTGGCTTCCATTAAACATAGCTAACCACAGCTTTTCAGAGGTTGCGTGACAAAGTAAACTTTAGTTACTTTAAGACGGAAGTGAATGATTCTGCACTGGAGAAGAAGGGCGGAGGAGCAAAAGTCTAAGCTCAAGACACTCTCTGTGGCTTCTTCATGTAATGTCTAATCAGTAGTTTGGTATAACAACCAAATCAGCCCACATTGTACTGAAGCAGCAAACTTAAGGTCAGAGGCTTAGAGTTCTATACTTTTTCAGGGTGTCTTAATGCGTGCAAAAAATTATGTTGCTACTATGTTCTACTTCTACTATGTTCCACAACCTAGACTTTTTTTTTACTGCTGTTTGTCCAAGCGCTCCAGCAGACTACAGGCTTAGTGGTGTTACGGAAAAATCTAGGTGCGAGGCTGCTCAGTCACCCAGCTCGTTGGGCAGAGCCCACGGGTCCCTGCAGAATAAAGGAAGGAGTCCAGCCACCAGCTGGAGCAAATAACTGTAGACCAAAGTTTACTGCGCAACAAGTTCAAAGAGGAATTTTGAACCCCGAGGATGGGGTGACAAGGACTTTTAAAAGTTCCTGTCTTATCCCAGCATACAGTTCATTAAGCATCATTGTTACATCGTTGCTACATCAGAAAAGGGGAGGGTTATACATGATTAACATAGGACAAATGTGTTGGGGCAACAGGATATGTATTGGGAAGTACATTCTAAGCACCTACTACAAAGGGACAATAGAACTTTGGTTTGCAAGTCCAGAGGAAGAGTGCAAGTCTGGAGGAGTGCCTTTGCCCAGCGATTGATACCTATGAGTACCTTCCTGTGAGTACGTGACCTCCTGCTGGAGGGATTATGGCGGGGACCTAGTGGTTTCCAAGTCCTTGGCCAATGAAGCAAATTGGCAGTGGAATGAAGGAGACTGGCAAAGGAGTTGATTTTATATGATTTTTAAAACTAGAGAACTTTCCTGAGAGCTGTCAAGTTGAAAGGATACATTTATCCATAATATTTGTAACATGTAACAACTTTAAAGATGTCCCCCCCCCCATAATTTCCATAACAGTGGAGATTCTACTAGATCAGGTATCGTCAGCCTTTTCAGATTCAGGACCTATTTTTATCCCAAACATGCATTTGGGGAACCATTTCTTAACATTTTAACATATATTTGCATATGGTGTTCCTGTTGCAATCTACCTTGGATCAATCACTAGTAGGTTCTGTTCCAATCTTAAAGATTAGTGTGAGCAACAGTGTTGTTAAACTACTCAGATATGAACAACAGGATAAAATAACTAAATATAGGAAATAGCTGGTTGGGGGACTCCTGTAACTCTTTCATTCTTTGCTTTGAAAATAAAGGAGGTGTTGCAAAAAGGGATAAACATAATTACTTAAATCTACCCACATCACAAAATTCTTCAGGTCTTAAATTAATGATTTGGCTCCTTAGGTGTATTGCTAACTTTAAGTAGAAGTATTTATGAATATGAAACATCCATGACATATTAAGAGCAGTAGTAACCAAAATGGTGCCCCCAAGACAATGTTGCACTCTTATCAAGCAATGGTCAGGGATGATGGAAGTTGTAGTCCTGCAACATCTGGAGGAAGCCATATTGGCTGCCTCTGTCTTTTGAGTTTGAACCTTGGGAAGAGGAAAGCACTTCAGGTGGGTGGTTTCTGTGTCTGGAAGTTTGGTCAGTTAGTTGCCAGTTCTGGACTATTTCTGAAAAAGCCAGTTAGTAGTTTGGGGGTGCTCCTGGGCCCATTTTTATCTCTAGAGGTTCAGGTTGCTTCAGTGGCTAGGAGTACCTTTTGCCACCTATGTTTGGTATGCCATCTACAGGCATTCAGGACAGGGATAAGCCTTTCCATGGTAATTCATGTGTTAGTAATCTCAACACTAGATTATTGCAATGCACGTGTAAGTGAAGCAGCCCCTGGGCCTTGTTTGAAAGCTACAGCTGGTACAAAATGCTGAAACTAGAGCACTGGTGGGAGCAGTCTATCATCAGCACATAGTGCCAGTGCTTCAAAGTTTGCACTGGCAGCCATACACTATAGGGCTAAGTTAAAGGTGCTCGTATTCATTTACAAGGGTCCATGATACCCTAAGGACCACTCAATGCTTTATATCACTTCCTAGTCATTTTTAGTGGTCCCCCATGGCTCAGACACATGGCTCATATTCACCAGGATGTGTGTGTTCAGTATTGTAGACCTAATTCTGTGGAATTCCCTCTTGATTGGGCTCAGCCAGGCCCTCTTCCTGTTGACCTTCCGGTGCTTGGTGAATACCTTTTTTTAGTTCGGCAGGCATCTTATGAGGGTTCCCTCTCCCTGATCTTATGTTTCATTTTAACTGACTTTATGGTGTATGAGAAATCCCTTTTGTACACTGCTTAGAAACTGCAGTATTGGTACATAACTTATTAAGATGAATAATAAATAGTTACATGAATACATAACTTTGCAAAACGGCAAATCGGATTAATAACGTTGGGCATCACGTATGTATTTTCTTTGTTCTTTAGAGAGCCAATCCTACTGGAACTAGTAATGCAGAATTGCCTCTGGCTGAACCTGGAATGTACCAGTTGGACATTACGTTAAAAAGAGGTCATAATCTAGCAGCTCGTGATCGAAGAGGTAAGAATATGTTGATCAAACACTGTTTTTACATAAAACACTCTGCAGAGGCTGGAAAGGTTAACCTACCTTGGTTAAATTTTATACATTTTTATTTTAATATTTGTGCCCTGACATGCTACGCTTGTAACAATCTCCAGCGGAGAAGCTTTGTTGGTCTGTTGCACCAAAACCAACAAAAAGCCTTGTAATATCTTAAAATGCACCTTAGCCTATGATGAAGCAGCTCCTTATTTATTTATTTCATACAATTTCCATTTGAGTGTAAAAAAATTCTCTGGAAGCAGTTTACAAAAAAAGATAAAACGATAAAACTATCAATAAGAAGAATTAGCAACAACAGTTTACAACTTTCAAAAAGTTAAAATAACAATAGACTACAAACAGATTAAAACTTGCATTCAAACTAATTAGGTTGAATCAAAAGTGCCTCATTTTCTGACAAACGTGGAGGGCATTTTTGAATCCTACCTTGTATGTTGAAGGCTCTGTGATGATGGAAACGTTTGGTTATATGAAACAACGAAAAGAAATATAAAGGTTAATAATCAAGATGGCTCCTTGTTGAAATTTAAATATGAACTAAATTCAAATTCTGGAATTCATAGGAAGATTTGATACTGTACTTTCAGATATAGGCTGAATAGGCACTGGGAAGAAGCTAGCTCACCATAGAAAATATTAGCCACTTTTAGATGGTCCTGAGTAGTATTTATTTTGCTGCATCAATTTATTACTTGAATTTAGGTCAAAAAGGTTAGGCATCCTTGCATTTACCACTTCAGGATTTTTTTACGGTCTTGTTTGCATTTGATTATATATAGTAATATGGCTCTTGTATTGCTATTTTACTTTGAAATCATCTTTCTTTGGAATAACATCCCCCTTCTGTCTTGACTCTACACCAGCCTGTGCTATCTCTCCCGCCTGCACCTTTTCTTCATTCTCCGATCCTGCAGCTTCTCCTGCCTCTGACTTTCATCTCCTGGCTGTTAAAGGCTCCCTCAGATCACTGATCCCTCCTTCCAAGTCAGACTCCAACTCTGCCTGTCCTAGTGCCCAGTCATCAACATCCAGTATCCTACCCAGGGGTAGGCAACCTAAGGCCCATGGGCCAGATGTGGCCCAATCACCTTCTCAATCCGGCCCACGGATGGCCCAGGAATCAGCGTGTTTTTACATGAGTAGCATGTGTCCTTTTATTTAAAAAGCATCTCTGGGTTATTTGTGGGGCCTGCCTGGTGTTTTTACATGAGTACATTGTGTGCTTTTATTTAAAATGCATCTTAGGGTTATTTGTGGGGCATAGGAATTCGTTCTCCCCCCCCCCCATATAGTCTGGCCTACCACATGGTCTGAGGGACGGTAGACTGGCCCCCGGCTGAAAAAGGTTGCTGACCCCTGGTCTGGCCAGACCCTGATGCCCTGATGCTTGCTAGCTATTCTGCCACCAACACCACCTGGAGAAAGTTAAAAGTGCTCCTCACCTGGGTGCCTGAAATGTAACTGGAAAGTGATGGAGTGAGGTGGTGTGCCAAGACTGAAAGCTTCAAATGGTATTTGCTTAACTCTCTTACTTGGCATTGAGTACCACTGTGAAGTCGGGAAGAAATTGCTGCTTTGAGTCTTACTTCTGGATTTTTTTGTTAATAACATCTGTCTTGAAACCACAGTAGCCCTCTGAATTGCTATTAGAATGGAAAAGCTATTAATGTTTGTCTCTGTAGCCTTGAATTTTCCGAATGTCACAGGCATGCAAAACATTACTTGTGAATATGTAAAATCTTATGTAAAGAACTCCTTGAACAAAAACAGTAAATCTCCTTTGAGTGGTAGCTAGATAATCCTGGTGCTCTAGGTTTCATTTGCTTCAGAGATAATGCTTTGGGCATATAATGAGGAATAATTCAATGTGATAGTCTAGTCATCGTAATAAGCTTAACACATTCTGAATCACTTTTTATCTGTATTGCAGCAAATAACAAATTACCTCAAATAGATTTATTGCTGACCCTCGTTGAGTGGCACTGAAAGCATTATTTAGTGAATGCTGAAAAGGCAGTGCTTTGCTCTTTTTAATGCATAACCACAAAACAGGGCCTGCCAGACTGCCTAGTAAATGAAAACACTTTTATACTGTGCAGTGTTTATATATATTATATATTAGCAGTGTTTAGATCTGAGCTGTGGGACTGAGTGTTAATTGTAGAGTGGTTCCCCACTCCAGCACCAACTCTGTAGGCTATTTCCATAGCCCTAGGGAACCCAATGCCATCCTTTCTCTTTGCTGCCACCACCAGCGTATGGGCCACCTAGGGACAGGGGTGTGGGACTCCGAGTGTCTCCTCAATAATGCAAGAACAGCCAACTGAATTTCCAGGCCTCTGGCATGGCAACTCCCACTGCCTCCTTTCTGCTTTCCCAGGCCCTTTAACAATCTGTAACATGGTACCAGCAGCCTAAGCCATGCGGAGAGTTAACAAGCCTTTGAGCATATTCAGAAACTGCTATAGCCCAATTAAGCATTTTATCTAAAAGGAGCATATGGAAAAGGGATGTGGGGCAGGGAATGGCAGGTAGGCAGTTCAGCATTGAACTAAAACACTACACAACAATATTGGTCTAACTAATTCTATACTTAATCCAAACTAACATTGCAAGAATTTACACACTGTGGTTGTCTCTGGCGCAGGCAGCTTCAAACATCAGTTGCAGGTTGGGAATTTGAGAGGGACAAAGTAATATGGCCACCATTTTAAAGGATTTATTAACCATATTGGTTTGGAAAGGCAGCTGGTTGATTCCTGCCAGATGCCAAGTCAGGTAGAAGGGAACTGACACCATTTGAGGGAGTGGGAATTGGTAGACCCTCCCCTGAGAGCAGAGGAAGATAAGAAGAAGAAGAAGAAGAAGAAGAAGAAGAAGAAGAAGAAGAAGAAGAAGGAGGAGGAGGAGTTTGGATTTGATATCCCACCTTTCACTCCCCTTCAGGAGTCTCAAAGCGGCTAACATTCTCCTTTCCCTTCCTCCCCCACAACAAACACTCTGTGAGGTGAGTGAGGCTGAGAGACTTCAGAGAAGTGTGACTGGCCCAAGGTCACCCAGCAGCTGCATGTGGAGGAGCGGAGACGCGAACCCGGTTCCCCAGATTACGAGACTACCGCTCTTAACCACTACACCACACTGGAAGATGGTTATCGTGCATGGAAATTACCACCAGTTTTCCCCATCTACCTGCTAAACAGACTTAATCAATAACCTGCGGGTGTGACTTTGCTTACCTATAATGGAAGCTGGATATCCTTAAAATGACAGAGTAGGGGACATCAGAAGTACTTAAGAGGCACTGGAGATACATAGCATTGGTGTGAGATGAGAGATGCAGTAGTAAGGCTTGGCTAGGTGGTTAGAAGACAAGAAGGAAGAAAACATGGATGCATAATGGGCAAAGTCAGCAAACTCTCCTGTTTGCCTGAATCATTTGGCTATATAATAGGATGAAAAAAGATACTGAATGGAGGCATTCAGTACTGATACTTAATGTGCTAGGGAGGTGGGTGGGAGAGACAAATACCGTATTGGGAGAGCAAGGTAGACGTGTAAATTGAGGATAGGGATGAACTGATTTGCAAACAGTGATTTTGTATGATAAATTATTTCTACACTTGTTGGTTTTGATTTCTTCTTACCCCTCTGGAGTCTCTAGTGCGTTTTGTGCCATTACAGAGGTTCGTTCTTCTGCAGTTGTGTCACGTTTTATTACGGTGTGCCTTTGAAGTGGCTTCATGCTTATCCTAGGTGATGTCATTCCAGCAAAATTACTATCCTGCAAGTAGTAGTTTTCTCTGTGATAAGTTAGGATTAAAATATGAACAAGTGTCTGGGGACCCATCAATTTCTGTCAATTGGAACCTGCAGTTTCCCTTCCTATTCTTCTGAACCAATTGCCACTGGAAGTCGGCCCATATAATTGAGACGAGACCTGGATTTTATTCAATGGTTTCTATTTGACAACTTGAAACGATTGCTCAGAGTAATAAACCACTGCATATTTGAAGTATAAAAATTGGCATGAAATCTGAGAGCTCAGGTGTATGTTAAAGGAATTGTACCAGTCATAAAAAGGATGGTGGCACTTAACAAACCTTCGATGAGAAGGTCTTGTAGAAGTTGATAGAGTAAGGTAGAATAATTTTGTTATTTGAAAACTGAGTTGAATCACAAAGGGATGCATGATGTCAGGTGGCAAATGCGTTATTCTTATTACAGGTTAAGAGCTTATTTGCATGAAAAAATCCATACTGCAAGATACTTAAGTTTCTCTTCTGTATGATTTTTGTAAGCAGATATGTTCAGTGGAACTTTCAGATCATAATTTGGTAGGCATTATAGAGTATAGGGATGCGGGTGGCGCTGTGGTCTAGACCACTGAGCCTAGGGCTTGCCGATCAGAAGGTCTGCTGTTCGAATCCCCACGACAGAGTGAGCTTCCGTTGCTCGGTCCCTGCTCCTGCCAACCTAGCAGTTCGAAATCATGTCAAAGTGCAAGTAGATAAATAGGTACCCCTCCGACAGGAAGGTAAACGGTGTTTCCGTGCGCTTCTCTGGTTTCGCCAAAAGCGGCTGAGTCATGCTGGCCACATGACCTGGAAAAACTGTCTGCGGACATACGTCTGCTTCCTTGGCCAGTAAAGCGAGATGAGTGCTCAAACCCCAAAGTCGTTTGTGACTGGACTTAACTATCAGGGGTCCTTTACCTTTTTTATAGAATCGTAGAGTTAGGAGGGGTCCCAAGGATCATCTAGTCCAACCCCCTGCAGTGCAGGAATCTCAACTAAAGCATGCAGGCAGAAGGATATAAGAGTGGCAATTGACATTAAATTAGCATACGTGACCCACCCCATTTGCTAGTACAAATGGAATAACAGGTTGTGGCAGGCATGGTGATTTTCATGCAAAGCAGCTGGTCTAATGTTGACTTATAGATTTGTCTTTATTTTAATGCAATGTTGTATTAAGAAACCCCCATCTCCTTTGTACAAGATTGTAGTCTGTAACTGAGGTATCTGTTATAACGGGAAAATACTGCCACCATGTGCCTAGACCTGTTGTTGCTGCTGTAACTATTGTAGCAAGCTGAAAAAGACTTGCACTATTTAAAAACAGCAGTGTGTTAGAAAGCTAGACCTTTTGTGTGTGCATTCAAGTTAGTATACTTAGTTCACTGGTTCTGCTTATGTGCACTTTGAATTAGTATGGAAATGTGTTTCAGGTAATTTAATTCATAGGGTATACTTGTTAAATGTCTCTTAGGTGCAAGTCCTTTAATCTAGAATTTAGCATTTTATGGACAAAGTCATACAGCGAAAGCCATACACTTAATATGTAGTTTTACTGGGGTCTACATTCTGGCAGTTCCCTCATTGTGAGAAGTGAGGTTCCTGGAAGCCAGGCAGAGGGCCTGCCCTGTAAGACGCCCTCCTGTCAGATGTCAAGGGAATAAACAACTATCTGACTTTTAGGAGACATCTAAAGGCAACCCTCTTTAGGGAAGTTTTTAATGATTGATGCTTTACTGTGGTTTTAAATAGTTGGAAGCTGCTCAGACTGGCTGTGGTAACCCAGTCAGATAGGTGGCATATAAATTGTTGTAGTAGTAGTTATCATTATCATCATCATCATCATCATCATCATCACCACCATCTGCTGCACCTGCTAGTTTTCTAAAAAAGATAAGGACTGCCATCTTGTTTTAAGGTTTTTCCTTATAACTTTCAGAAATCATGTAGTTGTCGTACATAATCTTGATTTTTGTTTCAGGGACAAGTGATCCATATGTCAAGTTTAAAATTGGTGGAAAAGAAGTGTTTAGAAGCAAAACTATCCATAAGAATCTTAACCCTGTATGGGAAGAAAAAACTTCAATCATGATTGAACATTTAAGGGAACAACTGTACATAAAGGTGAGCTACATGTGATTCTCCTTAAAAACAGGTAAGTACAATGTTGTTGTATCACTCCACACAGTTGTAGTTTTTCAATGGAATGTTATACAGCTTGATATTGCCATAATAGAAATTCAAGTTATGAAAATATATCATAAAAATGCTTATGAAATTTATAATGTTGTGCCCTGCCAATTCTCATAACTGTTCAGAACTCAAATATCTGGTACATTCTTTGAAACATAGGCCAGTGTTGTGCTTTTTGTTGTTGTTGTTGTTGTTTAGTCGTTTAGTCATGTCCGACTCTTCGTGACCCCATGGACCAGAGCACGCCAGGCACTCCTGTCTTCCACTGCCTCCCGCAGTTTGGTCAAACTCATGTTGTAGCTTCGACAACACTATCCAACCATCTCGTCCTCTGTCGTCCCCTTCTCCTTGTGCCCTCCATCATTCCCAACATCAGGGTCTTTTCCAGGGAGTCTTCTCTTCTCATGAGGTGGCCAAAGTATTGGAGTCTCAGCTTCATGATCTGTCCTTCCAGTGAGCACTCAGGGCTGATTTCCTTAAGAATGGATAGGTTTGATCTTCTTGCAGTCCATGGGACTCTCAAGAGTCTCCTCCAGCACCAAGTGTTGTGCTACCCAGACATAAAAGGGAATGGCAAAAAAGAAATGTAAACCCTAATGAGGACAGTATACAAATAGACCTAACGTCCAAAACAGTTTGAGACATCACTGATTTTGTAGTTGGGATATTCCACCAGAGGATGTCCTTGTGTAAGTATATAAGAAAAGCCTGCAGGATCAGGCCAATGGCCCATCAAGTCCAGTATCCTGTTCTCACAGTGGCTGACCCAATGCCTATGGAACCCCCCAAGCAGAACCTGAACGCAACAGCACTCTTCCCACTTGTGAGTCCTAGAAAATGCTTCTGATAGTAGAGGTAGAACATAGCCTTCATGGTTAAAAGTCATTGATATGTATAGGCAGGGTTGATGCATTATGTTGTATAATGTTTGCTTTCGCTAATATTCTCAAGTAATTGTTAATGGAATCCCCAACATTGAGAAATGCTATTTCTTTTGTTCACCTTAGGTCTTTGATTATGATTTTGGGCTTCAAGATGACTTCATGGGATCAGCATTTTTGGATCTCGGCTCACTAGAGCAAAATAGGTATCGTGTTTTAAAGCTACTGAAGTAGATAATGACGTTTTGGACAGGATTGGAGACAAAGATCTAAGCAATGCTACACTGACGGTGTTATCACCAGTTACTGCTGTTGTGAAGGGACACCCCATACATTTTAATTTTTTTAAATGAATTTTCATAGACCCATCGTTACATTGCCACCTTGCACCATTTTTCTCTATACCTATGTGTGTATATATTAGGGGTGTGAACTGGCCACAAGATTTGGATTGCAAGCTCAGTTTTCTGAAACAGCTTGCTTTGGACCAAGGTGCTCTGCAGGCTGCCCAGTTTAGCTCAAGGTCTGTCCAAATTCACAAAAAGCCTTGTTCTTGCTCCCTTTCCCTAGAAGGTCTCTGGCCAGGGATGTGTCAGTGCTCCTGGAAGAAGAGGCAGCTGCCTAAAAACAAGGGAGGTAGAGCTGCAGCTTCACCTGCATAATGGTCTTCTTGCTGTCTCCACCAAACATAGTTGAGATGCAGTGAAGCCCCCTCTCCTTTTGAATCCAGACAGGATGGAGATCAAGTGCTGTGTATTGCATGGAACTTCTGCTTTCCTCCCTTAGTAGTTTTGCAACCCTAGCTGATAGTTTACAGGCAGAAGGTAGCAACAGGCACACCATTCTTGTCCCTTTTTAAACTGTATGACCTAATGGAGGCAATATGATGAAACCTTTAATTATTTATTTTTTGTTTCTAAACTTGGTTTCCTAGGTCAACCGAAGTTACGTTGAGTCTCAAGGATCCACATTATGCTGACCAAGATCTTGGAACTATATTATTGTCTGTTTTGCTGACGCCGAAAGAACAGCAACGGGAAGGGGTAAGTGTGGATTGAAACAAATTATGTAGCTTCCCCCCTTTCCTAATGGGAAGTGTATCACTTTCGCAATGTTTCCATCAGTGAGCATTATTAAATGAAGCCATTTTCTTGTGGGTTTTTATATATTATTCCCCAGTAAATATTGAAAGGTACTGATCAGTTTTTGGATGCATTTGACTACCAATGCCTTGCTCTGGGTCAGCCCCTCCATATAATGATATTGGTACAGATGGGATTTTGATAGAATGCAAACATACAGTGGATTCACTCAGAATTTATTAAAGATAAAGAATTTTGGATCTAGTGCTGTGGTGTTCAAACTGCAACATTTCAGTCCTATTATAGTAAAATCTTACACAGTTATGAAAACTAAGCTAATTGGTTCTGTGTAGAGCTTTGCTGCTGAAACAGGCATTTATTTGGAGTCAGTAATGTTGTTATTGTGCCAGAACATTCCTGGACTTAGGGCATAAGTGTAGTCAGGAGCTAGAAGTTGAGTATCGGTAAAAGCACCAAGAATAAATATATGAAATGTATTTCCAAGAGCACAATTTTAAGTCTAATGTAGCCAGTAAAGGCTTAATATTTTCTTAAAACAAATCAAATCGAAATCACTTTTCATACACTGCCACTCTATACCTATGGTCTGGAAACCCAATACCAAGTCAGTGCTATGATTTGTTTCTTCCTTGCTTGCCAAAGGGAAGAGCAGGTTAGCTGCAGTTTGAGCAGTATGCACTAGCATGCTGCTCTTTCATGGTAAGCCATAGTTTCTTTCAAACAGTGGCTTCTCTGATAAGCTTTATTGTAATGTGCAAAAGCTGCCTTAATGTGAATTAGCATGGGATTTCAACGTTCAAACTGTAAGTGTTGCTATTTGGAGTTGTGATGTTAAGTACTCAAATAAGTGTCTACAAATACATCATGATTCACTTTCTACCTCTGCAGATATAAAACCAAATTGTCCAAATTGCAGGTTATTTTATAGAGTTCAGTTTTACCAGATTGCCTAGAAATTCAAGAGAGCAACATTTCTTAGTGAATTTTTCTTTCACCCCTTGAAATGAATTGCAGGTTTGTGTGCTGGAGTTTTTGCAACCCCGACTCAAAACTTGGCTATGTTTTTGTTGTTGCAGTATACTGGAATTGGAAATATGTAACACGGGAAAGCTTTCGTGAGATGTTTAGCATTCTGTCCTGCACTCTAAAACATTAGGTTTACCGTGGCTGTAATTTGGGGACTGTAATAAATCTTTAAAATCCCTCTAGCTATATCGCGTAGTCAAACATTTTTAATGGCAGCTTGAGAACAGTTTCAGGAGGTAACATACAAGCCTTGTTTTACACGTAGTGTATTCCTAAATATGTCTACTCAGAATCAATCACATTGAGCTTAATTGGGCTTAAAAGGGACATGGGTGGCACTGTGGTCTAAACCACTGAGCCTCTTGGGCTTGCTGATCGAAAGGTTGGAAGTTTGAGTTGGTGCACTGGGGTGAGCTCCCATTACTCTATCCCAGCTTCTCCCCATCTAGCAGTTCGAAAGCATACCAGTTCAAGTAGATAAATAGGTACCGCTGCAGCGGGAAGGTAAATGGTGTTTCCATGCGTTCTGGCTTCTGTTATGGTGTTCCATTGCACCAGAAGTGGTTTAGTTATGCTGGCCACATGACCCAGAAAGCTATCAGTGGACAAACACCAGCTGTCTTGGCCTGAAGTGAGAGATGAGCACCACACCCCATAGTTGCCTTTGACTGGACTTAACTGTCCAGGGGTCCTTTACCTATTTACCTTTTACCGTAATTGGGCTTACTCCCAAGTAAGTGGGTATAAGAGTGTTTCCTTTAATATATGTGGGAGGAGAAGAAATTACAGTTAAAATTTCTTTGATGGGTGCAAAACGTTAGAAATTGATGCATGAGACCTTTGGTGCAGTTAGTTTTTTGTGTAGCATGATGAAATGTTTAAGCAGTGTTCTGTAAGTAAGTCAGTGTGGAAAGAAAGATTTATCATACAGCAATGATAAATTAAAAATAGATGCTGTATTACATAAGAACAGTTTAGCAAGCTTTCTAAGCTCTGTATTCCTTTTGATGACTATTATTTTATATGTTATATTGTTAACTGAAACTCAAAGCCAATAATATGTTTTTTGGGGGGAAAGTATTTCTAAAGTAGACCTTAGTTAAACTTGGCAAATAATCTATTTTACTGTTTGTGCCATTACATACACTGAAATTTCCCTTTCTTTCTGGTCTCAGTCTTCCATGCAACATCTTCATGTTCACAGGCTGCTCAGATATTCTATTGAGTTGCTCTGTTTGAAATACCACATACATTGCATTTCACATAGGAGACACCTAATTTTCAAGAGGAAAGCTTGGTTTAGTAAAGATGGTAATCAGTAGCAAAGGAATGCACTTAAACACTGTAGGACAACATCCATCCTCTGGTTCAGAGGTTCCATACTATGGTTTATGAGGTTCTTTCGGGTGGTCTGTGATGTATCTGTTAAAAAAAAAAAAAGATGGCTTATATTTATTTTGAAAAGTTTTAAAGTCAGTTGGCTCAGTTGTTGATGTTAAGGCACAGGGCCTTTTCGGTAGTGGTGCCTGCCCTGTGGAACGTCCTCCCACCAGATGTCAAGGTAATAAACAACTACCTGATTTTTAGAAGACATCTGGAGGCAGCCCTGTTTAGGGAAGTTTTTAATGTTTGATGTTTTATTGTGTTTTTAATATCCTGTTGGAAGCCGCCCAGAGTGACTGGGGAGGCCCGGCCAGATGGGTGGGGTATCAGTAATAAATAAATAAATAAATAAATAATAAATAATAAATAATAATAATAATAATAATAATAATAATAATAATAGCAACATACAGGCAAGGAGCATATTTGTTTTAACTGTTTTACTTTTATGTGGGCTTAGAAGCCATATATTTTAATTGGAGGACAGGCATCCATTGCATCCTCAGTGTACCATCCAGCGGAACCTTTCCAGGTACTGCAGGACCTCTTACAGTCTCGTCCAAATGAGGTGGTAGCTCAATGTGACACGTTTGCAAAGCATTTTGAGGACAATGCATGCACCGCAATCCTGACTCTGCTATTCAGCAGATGAATCTCAAGGGTTGTCCAGAGCACTCTCTAGTCCTGTTGCGTTGGATGAGTTTCAGTTAGTAAGGCTCAAGGATGTGGCCAAAGTGCTTGGATCGGTCAAGGTGACCGCTTGTGCTATGGATCCCTGCCCCTCTTGGCTGATAAAAACCTAGTAGGGAGGGAATAGATAGCTGGGCCAGAGAGGTGATTAATGCCTCCTTGCCAAAGGGGGTGGTCCCTGCCTGCTTGAAGGAGGCTGTGGTAAAACCACTCCTCAAGAAACCCTCCCTGGATTCACAAAATCTAAGTAACTACCAGCCAGTTGCCAGTCTCTCCTTCTTGGGAAAGGTTTTTGAATGGGTGGCCATGGACCCAGATACAGGCACTCTTGGAGATAACTGATTTTCAAGATCCATTTCAACTGAGGTCACGCTCAATCTATAATCCTCTTATTTTAGAGTAAAACACGTTGGGCTGTTTGTTTCTGTAGAAGTACCACTGAATTATAGTTTTGGTCTGTGGGAGGGAGTTGTAATGATTTTTAAAGGACTTAATTGGATGCAGGGCAGAATGAATATGGAAAAAGATGTGCAAAGTTTGTAGCATGGTTTCTTGTGATGTATAACTGGTTTAGTAAAACTTTGTGTTTGTTTTAGAACTAGCAAATCCTCAGTGGAGAGATGAAGGTAGATTTGGATCTAGTGTTTAAGGTACATACTTTGGCAATGCCTACCTATAGTAAATTCTGGCCTGCAAAGAAAAACCTCATGTTGCTCAGTTTATTTAGGGTTCTACCAACCTATTAGCATTTGAGAGGTCAATATGTTATCTCTATAATTCTAGTATTTGTGCAATTTCTTTCCTAATTTTGTTTATCGTAACTTAGTTGCAGTAGCACTAGTTCCAATAATTCTCAATTGGATGTCTGGTTTTGCTTAAGTAGTATGAACACCAAGAAGATCCAAAAGGTACCTTTCCATTTGGATTGACTAATCTTGCCATTAAAAAATTGGTAAATTCCAGGGGTAATAAACTATTGTTTCTAATTAAGCAATGGAAGTAAAATAGGGAATAATGAACATACAATCTAAACTATTAAGGCTACTATCCTATGCACACTTACTTGGGAGTAAATCCCACTTAATTTAGCTGGAGTTACTTCTGAGTAGGTATGTCTAGGATTGCACTGCAAATCTGGTAAGCAAAAAAAAAAAGATGTATTCACTGTATGTTATATATTGTTTATTAACTAACATGTTTCTATATGTAAGAATAATGCATGGCATGCATTGTACTATTGCATGTACTGTTTATAGCTGTGTATTGTTTTTGATTTGCTTATGCATACTTGTGTCTATTATGTGCATACTTTGCTAAAATGAGTGCATGAGTGGATTTTTTTTGTTTCATGTGTTGGTTGTTTAGCAGAGTTCAGTGCAAAGATTTCATCACTGGAGAACTCGCAGATTAACAGTGAGTTCATTTGAGCAGCTTGCTGTCTTATCTTCTAGACCTATAATCTGCTTGATTAGCGTTAGAAGATATAAAATCCTCAGAAACATATGAGTGATACCTTAAATCCTGGGATATAACTAATTCAGTGCCACTGCATCTCTCAAGCATTAAAGGGATTTCCCCCTTGAAAAGGGGAATTCAAAGCTGTTGCATAATTTTGGAAGGGGGGGGGGAGTGACACAATCCTTATTGAGGGGTGCCAGCCTTAAATCCAACACCTCTAAAATACATTTAATGTATTTATTTATATACCATTTACAGGCTCCCAAAGTGGCTTGCATTAATATGTGGGTACAGGGCTGAATCCAAGGCAAGCATAATAGAACTTTTATTCCTTTTCACTCCTCTCCCCCCCCCCCCCGTCAGCATCTCCAGAACTGCTCCAGAAGGTTGGAGAAACCCCAAGATTGGGGGGGCATGCAGAGTGGGAGAGAGGGAAGAGGAAGTTGCATTGCACTCATAAAAGTGATTACTGCTTATGCACTGGATATAACCCAGTGCCTTGAAATGTACTGTTGCAAGCCACCCCAATCTCGTGAGTGGTGCAAGATTTTCCAGGTTTTCCAGCGCTTACCCAGAGTGTTGGTTTCTTTTTGGAATGAGGCACAGCAGAGACTGTGGTATTTTTAGGATATATGGTTTGTTTACACATATAAACAACCTGAGCCTACAATGGTGGGATTCACAGCATTAATGCCCCCAAAGGATCTTGTTTCTCCCATGGCCATAGCCTTGGATTCCAACAGACATCAAATATTGCTGTGTTTGTCTTCTACTTGCTACTCTTCTTCTAGGTCACATCACTGCAAAACTCTGTACTCCAAATTCGGGCTTTGTTTGTTGAGGGAGGAGGCAACACCCATTTGCCATCTCGTACCAAGCTCCTTAATGGCTCATTACCCCGGCTATCACCTCACCAGGAGGTTAGCCTGGCTATTCCAAGAAGTAGAAGACTTGATTAAATTCTAACACTTGCTGGATCCAGGAATTAGAAGGGTCTGGCACATAGCTTAACACCCGAAACTCATAACAGTATTATGAGAAGGAAGTGACCAGAATACCTATGTTCCATTTAAAACAAAATGTTTTGGCTCTGAAGTTTCCTTGACTATTACTACAGTGTTTCTCTAATTATATTCAAGTAATCATCATATGTTTCTGTTGTTAAAATGCAAATTAATATTATCAAGGCTGAAATAGAATTAGATTTCTAGCTAGGCTACAGGCTTCATTATTCACCTGTATTATGGCTTGCAAACCTATCCAAGACAATGACCATTACTTTAATCAGCTAAAGTGTCATCCTATGTGATGTACTTCCATTGATTTAACTAAAGACATTCTCTGTAATACGTACTAACCCTAATTGTCTACAGTGATTGTTCAAATTCAGTGCTTTAACTAATTTACTTTTCTGTAAATTTTTTGGCAAATAATATCTTAAAGTATAAAAGAGAGAATAAAGCAACTCAGATGAAACCATTAAGAATTTGAAAACAATTTTTTGTTTTCTCCAGCATTTTTGCTTCCTAACAAACTTTTTAAATGTGTCCACATTTACAGAAGTGGTAGAATTTTGAATGTACTAACATTTTGCCCCCTGTTTACGTGGAAGGTATTACCCTTAACTCCAGGTGTGTGTGTGTTTGTGGGGTGGTGGTTGTTTTTTTTTGGAGGGGTGGGTATCTAGTATCCAGAAGGAAGCACATTCTGCCAGTTTTCCTATGTACAAAATGAGGCCTCTTTTTATTCAGTCTCAGTCTGTTCTAAGTTCTCCATGTTGAAAATTGATTAATTCCCACTCCAGGTGCCACAAAATCCCAAAACCTGCTTCACAATCAACCCCCACAAAAAAAGCTTGTAACACGGCCTTCTCTCCAATGAGGAGCCACAGCTCAGGAGTATAGTTCATATTTTGCACATGTAAATTCCGGGTTCAATCCTGGCATCTCCATTTAAAAGGTTCTTAGATAGTAGAATGGGGAAAGGCCTCTGTTTCAGATCTTGACCTGTCAGAGTACATAATTCAGGAGAGCTTGCATAGCAGGGCTCGGATTCTAAAGTATTTGTGCCACGAATTAAAAGGAGAGGTTCTACTCACATTTTGTGGAGGTGCTTTTCATTCACAAAACCTTATGTTCTAAGTTTAGGTTTAATTGGGGGGGGGGAATAATGCTTTTCTGCACTCTTTGCAGGACATCTAAGCAAGGTTATCAAATTTTTGTTCTCCTGCATTTTCTGTGTGGTTCTTCAGCCTTGTTTGAGATCAAAAAAATCCAGCAAGAACAATATAGCAGCATGATCTCTACTGTAGAGGTGGAGAGATATTAGAATGGCTCAAAATGACACATTCTGTGACTGGAAGGGCCTATTCTATGAACATCTTCTTAATCAAACCCACTCATCTTCCTTGCCGATGCATAACAATTAGCTACATTATTGTAATTGGAATAAGTGGCCTTAAATCTAAAATCACTAATTTTAATAAAATCTAAAAACTGAGATAATTAGTTGAGTTCATTGACATTTGTACCTCTTTTTTATTGATCCCAAACATCTTCCTATTACTTTATCCTGTTTTTCTTTTTCATCATGAAATAATAGGAGGTTGGCATCTCTCTGAAATGTGCTGTAGTGTGAATGATGCTTGTAGTTTGATTTCAGTCATATGTAGTTGTTTGGAATGTATTTGGCATTTCTGTGTGTGCATTGCTCCTTTGGAAGACAACTGGCCTCCAGTGCAAATAAGTAAAAAGTTATTAAAATGCTCTATTTCATTTGCAGACAATGTTAATGAGGAAGAGTTGGAAAAGATCAAGTAAGGTAATTCTTAGTATGTGGTCTTGAGAAGAACTGTGGTGCTCTATATTGTGTCACTTGAATGGAAAGTTGTGACACGTAGACTAGGTCTGCAAAACTCAGTTTATAATTTCGATAATGAGGCCTTTTTAAGTGATAAGGATTTGTTATATCATGCAACACTATTAAACTTCCTTCATCATTGTAGAACACTGAAGTACATCTAACTAGGCAATGGTCAGGGAGATCCATTTATATTAAGACCTGTTTCATATTTTGTGCTCATTTTTCTTAGTCAACACAACCTAAATTAGTGAATGCATTTTTCATCAGGTGGTAAGGAATTCCAAAAAAGTATGCAGTAGAAATGTAGGGTGAGATCAAATGGAGACCCAATTCTGCAAGCAGAATGAACTCCCAGTTGCATAATGCAGACCCCAAATCGCCTCTGGAGAGTTTGGTGACCCCCAAAGCACATTTGGAAAACTGAAAGGTTTGGAGGTAGGGAAAGAGGAAGGGGAATTTTGTGTGTCTAACACATCTGAAGGCAGCCCTGTTTAGGGAAGCTTTTAATGTTTGATGTATCACAGTATTTTAATATTCTTTTGGAAGCCGCCCAGAGTGGCTGGGGAAGCCCAGCTAGATGGGCGGGGTATAAATTATGTTTTATTATTATTATTATTATTATTATTATTATTATTATTATCATCATCACTTCCAGAATTCAGGTTACCTTTTTCCACGATGTGGTTTGTAGTATGAACAAGCTTTGAACAGGCAACTAAAAATACTTACCTGAATAGGTCGGTGGTTTGGCATTCTTGCCACTTCCTGCAAAAGATACAAAACACACATGGTTTTATTTAGTTCTAACATTGTGCTGTGAAATATATACGAATTGATCAGTGGATTATAAACTATTAAGTAGTGTGCGCACCTGCATACATGTTCATTCACCCCTGCATCAAACTTTTCTCCTGCTACTTGATTTTTAAAAATTCACTTTTGACATACCAGTAAATAATCTCATGCCATCCAGATGCATAAAATGAAGGCTAAGTTTTGTTACCAGTCCACAGACCTAATTTAGGAATAAAAATGGTGGTAGGCATGAGTCTTCATCCCTTTGTGGTGAAGAATATGAGGTTACGATGAAATGGGTCCTATGTCTGCAACCTCTGTTGCACATATTAGATATTTTGCACAACTAGGCAAGGATTCTCAAAGTGCATTATAGCTGCAGCTTCATCTTCGGTACTTGTTGTCAGTTCCAAAATGTTGCATTTTTGTTGTGTCGATCTACATAGAGAATATTCCTCAATCTACTTTACTCTGAAGTTATACGAACACTTGCATATAAGAGTTTGCGAGAGGTTAAACCAGGGATAGCCAACTGGTGCCCTCCAGATGTTGTTGGACTGCAGCTCCCATCAGGCTCAAGCAGCAAAGCCTGTTACCAGGAATGATGCTCTCCAGATGTCATTGTAGTCTTGCAACATCTGGAGGGAGGAACCACATTGGCTTCCCCAGATTAAATAATAGACTTCCTTACTTACACCAGAAATAATGAACCTCAGATTTCTATTCATTTTTGGCTTTTAGAAACATTTTCTTGCAGTTGCTGGTACACACTTGCAGGCCTGCTGCTTTTATTTTCATAGCATGATCGCTTCTCACTACCACTTATAGAATTCTGTGGAGAAATGGCAGTATTAACTGGGCTTGTGCAATTCCACAATCATAGCTGCACCTGTTCCAATTACCATTGGTGCCAGTAGTGGTCAGCTCTGGGTTTATCCAGGTACAGCCTGGTCTTCAGAGACTCTCTTATGTACCTAGCAACCGTCAGGAGGGATTATGGAGAGGGCATATGCAACTGAGTCGCATTTGTGAGTCAAGCCTTAAGAGTTTCTTCCTATTTTACCTTTTGCAAAAGAACATACATTCTTCAATACTCAGAAATGTGCACAAAATGTGCAGAATGTGCAAAATGCACATGAGCTGGCTTTAAATTGTTTGGGACTGGAGTATCTGAAAGTCTGCCTCTTCTTATATGAATCTGTCTGTTGGTTATATGACACCCTGCTTTTTATCCCGCTTAAAGCGGTTTCCTGGTGAGGACATGAAATGGGGCATCTTCCGTGGCATTCCCTCCTGAAACATTAAGACTAGTTTTGTTTTATCAGGCCTTTAATTATGATATATAAATTTTAATTCTTCCTCTCTCTCTGCCCTTTCAATCACTGTTCTCTTGTGCATGTGAGTGACATAAGGTGGGAGTTGAGCTCCCCCTAGTGGTTGAATGCAAAATCACTGTTCAAAATTCAAATAAGCTTCTGGACTTCCATTCTGCCCAGAAAATAGTTCAATTGTGCCTTCACCCAGTGGTTGTCATGCACTTTTTTGCAGCTTTGTGGCTCTGTTCTTTATTAATTGTATGTGTGTTAATCCTTCCACCCCACCCAGTTCCCTCTGTCTCCTTCCTGCTGGCTCCTGTTCTCCCCCCCTTAAGGTTTTTTTAAAACAACAATAAAAAGTCCTGTGTATTTGCTGCTTTGTTCCTCTACTCTGAAGACCAGTCTCAGTCTAGCCCCCAAACCCTCCACTGTCCTAGCTAGTCCTCACCATCCGACCCTCACATATCTTTTCAAGTCTCAAGTTTACCCCATTCCCACCCAAAACTGCGCTGTAGTTTTCAGCAACTGGCATTCAACTGGCATTCAGCAACTGGCATACCACAGACAATTTTTTTTAAAAAAATTCTTCCCTTAAATAAGTGCCTTCTTTTAAGATGTATCTCATATCTCAGGGCAGGGAACCTCTTTTGGCTTGTAGAAAATGAGAAATGCTGTCTACCTTAGTGCTGTGGATGACCACAGCGCTATGATCAGAGAAGTCTCTGCTTGCTGCCTTCTACTGTCAAAGAACTTACCTCTGATCTTAGCACTGTGTTAGCGCTACATTGGAAATAATGCATCTCAGCACCTGACATCATATGATGTCAGATGAGTGGAGTTTGCCACATGGCCAAATTAAGAGGCTTAGTGGGCCTTATAAGACCTGCAGGCTGGTAAAAGAATTGACAGTATTAACTGCTTGTTTAGATACAGACCTCAAAAGACAAACATTCAATAAAGATATCCATATTTACATGATGAGCTTAAAGTGGCGTAGATTGTGGTTTGTGGATCTATTAATCTACATTGTATTGTAGCTGTGAAAGTGAAGTATCTGATGAAGCAGGTGCGATAGCTGACAAAGCTCAAAACATATTGCCAGGGTGTAGAGCAGGATGGCCCTCCAAATATTGCTAGACTACAACTCCCATCATTCCTGAAAATTGGCCATGTTGGGTGGGCCTTATGGGAGTCAGAGTCCATAACATCTGGAGGACCAGAGATTAGCCACTCTTGTGTAGCGCCTCTATGGTTTGTAGCCTGAGCAGTCTCTCATGCTGCAGCTTACTCCTCAATTACTCTACATTTGTCTATTCACTCTGGATTGGAGACTGTGGGGAGTGGGAGGTAGGTGCAGGGAGGAGGAAACCCTATTGTGCAGGTGGAAGAGTAGATTTTCCTGAGCACTGATGTAGCCTGTTGATTGCTAAGGTCGTTTGCAGAGTGAAATTAGTATATCTAGTATATTTCATTCGTTTTGTGTGTAATCAGCTTTTGGGTTGGCAGATGTGAATTGACAGGCGGAAATGCCAGTAGAAGGGTTTTGGTTTTTGGTTTTGGTTTTGCAAAAAAACAACAACCCACCACGACCACTGTTAGGTTATCTCTTTCTGCATCACCATGTGGCCACCCAAGCTGTACTCATAATTCCTAATCAGAGTTTCACTTGGGACATTTTGACATGAAAAGAAACTACTGAAATATAAAAAGAGAATGTTTAAAGATCCAAATGGTGTCTAACCTTTAGAAATAGTGCCACAGAACCAGGTATAACATCCCATCTCATGGAATATTCTTAACCCATCCTGCATTTGGTTTCAGGGACCTAGAAGCCAGCACCAGATCTCAGCAAACCCAGTGCTACTAGCCAGTCCACATCAGTCAGTGATTAGATAGATAGTTGCCCGGGATTGACTGGAAGCAGTGTGGGTAGCCTTGGTTTAGATTAGTTTCCTTAGGTCAGGAAGAGAATCAGGGCTGCGGGCTGTTTGGTAGCTATGATGGGAGAATGGCAAGCTTGTTGAAAGGATTGCCATCTAGTTGCCTTCCTGCATGCTACATCGCTAACAAGACTGGGGAAGCTAGGCTCTAGAGGGAACATGGGAAACTCTTAATGGACAACCAACCAAGCAAGCCTGTATGATTTGGAGCTTTCTTTCTGGATCAAAGCTGGTGGTAGCCCTTTCATCTCCCCCCCTCTCTCAGGAAAAGGGAAATTAGTGGCAGCCAGCTCTGCCTCTTAAGGGACTGTACTGTGTCCAGTGATGTGGTAGCCAAAAGGGAAAAGAAATCAATGTTATGTAATGAAACCATAGTCTGTATAGGGGTGTACATACATATAAGGTTATAATTCCCAGCAGAATGTGAATAATTTTGAATTGACCAGTGTGCTGGTGGTCTGAAAGCACAAAGTGCATGGGATCTAATCTTGAAAAGGCAACCGGGTATAGATTACCTATGATAGGTATAGCCAACATGTTGCCCTCCAGATGCTACTGGACCTCAACTCCTATTACCCCCAGCCAGCATGGCCAACAGTCATGAATTATGGAAGTTGTAGTCCAGCATCATCTAGAGAGCACCATGTTGGGTTTCCTCTGATAATTCATGGCTACATAAGCAGACAATGTACCGATGAGTTATGCCCTGTCACTATAAAAATGGTGATTACACTGTGCCAATTTGTCAGGGAAATCCAAGTTGAATATATTTTTTTAATTTGTTCTTTGTAAGTTTTTGGGTATTCACTTATGCACTTTCTTTAAATAGCCATTCAGGTGGGAAGCAAATCACGGGGTTATGGTTTGCTTGTGCTCTAGCTAAATCAGAGTTCTCTCTATACCTAAAGTTTCAGACCCAGAGTATACGTCTGTCAGACCTGCACAGAAAAGCTCAGCTGTGGAGAGGGATAGTCAGTGTCACTTTGATTGAAGGTCGTGAACTCAAAGCCATGGATCCAAACGGGCTCAGTGATCCCTATGTGAAATTCCGACTAGGACACCAGAAGTACAAGAGTAAGGTAACTTTGTTGAACTGTTATTCCAAATGGTGGTGGTTTTAAATGTATTTGCAGCATTTTGAGTGTTAAATAGAGTCACTGAATAATTCTTCAGACTGCCAAACTGAAGTCCAAGGATTCTTGTTCAGTCAACAATGTTGTAGCTGTAGTAGACCTAAATCTAGTTACTACATATACCTTAGGCAGGCCTAGCCAACATGAAGCTCTCCAAATACAATTGTCATTACCTGCAACCATTGACCATGTTAGTTCAGGCTGATGGGAACTGTAGTACACAAGATCTGCATCTTTTATATGTCTAATGGGGATTTCAAGTTTTTCTTTTTAAACCGCAGACACTCGTGCCTCTGTGTACTTACGTTGATACTCTCTTGAGCTTCAAACTGGTTTGCCATGGATAGGATTCTGTAGTTCAAGAACCATATCCCTGAGCTACACCGGATGTATGCACCTAACTTTATGGTTCTTGAACAGTGACCCTAGTTCTAAAAGGACATTTGGGTCTAGACTAGACAGGATCTAGTACAGTCAAACCTTGGTTGTCGAATGTAATCCATTCCAGAAGCCCATTCAGCTTCTGAAATGTTCAACAACTGAGGTCAATTGGCTGCAAGAGCTTCCTGCACTCAAGCGGAAGCTGCATCGGACATTCAGCTTCTGAAAAACATTTGACAACTGGAGCATTTACTTCCGGGTTTTTGGCATCCGGGAGGCGAAACGTTCCAAAATGAAGGCGTTCAGGAGCTGAGGTTTGACTGTGTATTACTTTAGTTATGCCCAATAAAAATTTGTTTCTTGAAGCTTTGGGGAGCTAGACTGGGGATAGGCAGTCTTCTGATTATTGTTTATATGAAATTAGTTTTTAAAAAATATATACAGTATATTACTTTTTATGGATAAGCACTCTTTTGTTGAAAGCCTGTTTATGAATACTACAAACAAAAAAATCCTATGCTGAGAAAAGGAATTCTGTGAAGGAAGGCATAGCATTTGTTACATTTTACCTGTATTCTTCAGGAAAGGTATGGTGGGGGGAGTCATGCTTGAGTCTATGCCTTTTAGAAGACCGGGCAAGAAACAATATAGAAACTCAGCAAACCAACTTCTTTTCCTATGCAAATGGTAAAAAGAACTGGTATATGCTAATCATTTTATCCTGTTACTTTTTAAAAGGTAGCTTTGCTGAATTTTTATCAGTAAGAAACTGACTTTATTAGCACACATCTAAGGGAACATTTTAGGGAACCTGAAAAAATTCTAAAATAATTCCTACTTTGCAGAAAAGCATACTATATTTAATCTTTAGTGTACCTTATTTCCTACATAAACATTTGAAAATGTCTGATGAAGCTGTTGGTTTGCTGAACTATTTCTTAACTATACCAAAAGAATATTCTGTTGTTCCAGGAGGTACAAGTTTCCATAACTCCCTTTACTTTTTTTCCAGATTATGCCAAAAACTTTGAATCCTCAGTGGAGAGAACAGTTTGACTTGCATCTCTATGAGGAACGAGGTGGAATTATTGATATGACAGTGTGGGACAAAGATGCTGGCAAAAAGGATGATTTTATTGGCAGGTTTGTCTAATTACAAGCAACTTTTATTCCGAGAATGAGCAATGATTATTTTATTTATTTGTTTGTTAAATTTCTATACTGCCCTTCATCTGGGCACCACGGGGCAATTTACAATATAAAAACACAAAAATGCATAATACAGTAACAAACAAAAACCAAAAAGCTCCTCATACACAGTTTAACTAGACTGACTCAGTCTAGTTAGCTACAGTCTAGTTAGCTAACTAGTTAGCTAGTTAGTCTTAACTAGCTACAGTGTGACGCGGCAGCTAAAAAAGCCAATGCAATTCTGGGCTGCATCAATAGGAGTATAGCATCTAGATCAAGGGAAGTAATAGTGCCACTGTATTCTGCTCTGGTCAGACCTCACCTGGAGTACTGTGTCCAGTTCTGGGCACCACAGTTCAAGAAGGACACTGACAAACTGGAACGTGTCCAGAGGAGGGCAACCAAAATGGTCAAAGGCCTGGAAACGATGCCTTATGAGGAACGGCTAAGGGAGCTGGGCATGTTTAGCCTGGAGAAGAGGAGGCTAAGGGGTGATATGATAGCCATGTTCAAATATATAAAAGGATGTCACATAGAGGAGGGAGCAAGGTTGTTTTCTGCTGCTCCAGAGAAGCGGACACGGAGCAATGGATCCAAACTACAAGAAAGAAGATTCCACCTAAACATTAGGAAGAACTTCCTGACAGTAAGAGCTGTTCGACAGTGGAATTTGCTGCCAAGGAGTGTGGTGGAGTCTCCTTCTTTGGAGGTCTTTAAGCAGAGGCTTGACAACCATATGTCAGGAGTGCTCTGATGGTGTTTCCTGCTTGGCAGGGGGTTGGACTCGATGGCCCTTGTGGTCTATTCCAACTCTATGATTCTATGATTCTATGACTCCAGCTACAAAAGTTGAGGCTGCTGAACAGACTCTTGGGCTGGGGTGTTGTTTAAGGGTTTTTGTTGAGTGTCTGTTTTTTGCTGCTTTTATTGATATATATATATAGAGAGAGAGAGAGAGTATATTTTTAGATCTTATGATTTATGTAGAAATTGTTTTAATTCGTTTGTTTACCTTTTGATGTTTTATTTATTGCTTATGACTACTTTTCTCCTCCTGAAGATGTCTCGCAAGGCAGCTGGTAAGGATTTCTCCTCAGGGTTTACTCTTGAAGTCTTTCTCACAAAGACCACTTTGGTGCTGCAAACACAGCAAAAACAATACAGCAGGCAGCAGCAGTATGACTCATTTCATTATGTTTGTAATTATTTTTTTCCATGTTGTAGGCTGCCTTGAGATGCTTTTAACATGCAGCATACAAATAAAATTATGTATGTAGTGTAAAAGGCCAAAGATTGTTTAATTAGAGAGGATGAAGTTTTGAATTGATATTGCAAACTGCCCTGTGATCCTTGGATGAAAGGCGGTATAGAAATTTAATAACTAATAATAATAGCAATGAATAATAATAATGGCAGTGATTTCATATACACTTGTGCTACTTTTAGGGGGGGGCACCCTAGAAATTATCTGTTGTTGACTTTTTCCACTTTATATGGGAAGAAATTTCCTTGACCAGTAGGTGGCAGATCACACCAACTGAAAGATGTCATTTTTCAAAACTCAGTTACAAAAGAATCAAGATGCAGGAAGTTCCACTGATGACATTTGAAGAGGGAAAGATGATTGGCTATTTTGTCATGACGACCATTAATATGTGAAATATACTCAGAGTCGCAAAGTGATTTCATGCTCTTTATTCAGCTCATAGTGGTGAGGAGGAATGAATGAATGTCCCCTCAGTATCTGCTTTATATACATTATTTACACAATGGGCTGCACATGATTGGCTAATTCCGGAATTCTACTGTAAGCCAATCAGGTTGTGGATTCACTTCTATCTGGAGCATGATTGGGTAGTTCCTGCCAACCAATCATACTGCTGCATTGTTCTAGGACCAATCAGACTGCTGCATTCTGAAGCCTATTGTTCTAGGACCAATCAGACTGCTGCCTTTTGGATCCTATTGTTCTAGGACCAATCAGACTGCTGCAGTTTGGATCCTATTCAACTCAGTACATAACACCCCTCCCCTCTAAGTTCCAGTCCTGCCCGGGAGGTCGCATTCATAGTCCTTGAGGTACGCCGGCGGCCTACGTGTGCGTTGCGGCCTAGGGTGTTCCCTGGTCCGGGGTTCAGGTTCTGGCCCGTGTTCCAAGGATGCTGGCTGTGATGGGGCTGTTTGGTCTGGCGCAACCGGCTCGCTCAGTTGTGGTTCTGGTTCCGGTGTTCTTTCGGCCTTGCAGGTCCTCTCTGTATTTACTGATTCTGCCTCTCCTGCTGGCCCCTCGTGCTCTATGGGCCTCACTGCCCCTCTGTTCCCTTGGGACTCCTCTGCCCTTTCCTCCTCCTGGTTTTCTCCCGGGAATCGTCGCCGTATCTGGTCACAGTGGCGGCGCCAGCATTGCCCCCCATCCGTTAGCACCTCATACGACACGGGGCCAGTGACCCTGGTGACTGTGGCGGGTACCCATGCTGGGCCTGCCCCAAAATTCTTTGCGTACACTGGGTCCTGAGCCTCGAAGGTCCGGGGGTTCTTGCCTTCCCCCACCACTACCTCATCCTGAGCTCTATCGGGGTGAAGGCGGTCCAATCTGATTGCAAGGCGCCGACCCATTAGTAGTTCAGCGGGGCTCCGGCCAGTTGTTGAGCTGGGGGTGCTGTGCTGTGCTAGAAGGAATGTGGCAAGGCGGTACTCCCAATCCCCTTGCGTCATGCGGCGAAGGGTGTCCTTGGTGGTCCGCACCATGCGTTCTGCTTGGCCATTGGTGGCAGGGTGGAATGGCGCTGAACGGATGTGGCGGATGGCGTTCTGCGCTGTGAAGGTTTGGAATTCTCCTGACGTGAATGCAGTCCCGTTGTCTGAGACGAGAGTGTCAGGGAGCCCGTGGGTTGCAAACAGCCTGCGTAGTACCCGGATGGCTGCGGACGTAGAAGGGGACGGTACCAGTGCGACTTCCAGCCATTTGGTGTAGGAGTCCACCACTATGAAGAATGTTTTCCCCTGAAAGGGGCCAGCGAAGTCCACATGCAGGCGTGACCATGGTGCTCGGGCGGACTCCCAGGACTGGACTGGGGCCCTTGGGGGATCTGGGCGGGATTCTTGGCAGGCCTGGCAGTGTTTGACCCAGGCCTCTATCTCTCCGTCGATCCCCGGCCACCACACATAACTCCTGGCAAGGGCCTTCATTCTTACTACCCCTGGGTGTGTCTCGTGTAGGGCTGTGAGGACCCTTTTGCGGAGGGCTGGGGAACAACGACCCTGCTTCCCCATAACAGGCACCCCTTGTGGGCCGACAGTTCATGTTTGCGGGTTGTGTAGCCAGCGAATTCTGGCCCGGGGCTGCTGCTGGGCCATCCCCTCCACACCCAGTCCAGGACCCGGAGATGACCCTATCTTTCTTGGAATGGTGTGCAACTTCTTGTGCCTGAATGGGGCGGTCGGGAAGCAGCTCCAGGCTCATAACCTCTTGTGCAGGTGCTGGGTCGGGGCCTGTTTCCGGTAGTGGTAGCCTGCTGAGGGCGTCCGCATGGCCCATCGCCTTCCCCGGACGGTGAATCAGTGCATACTGGTAGCTGGCAAGGAAAATTGACCACCTGAGGACGCGAGGAGACAGCACTTGGGGGGTCTGCTTTTCAGGGGCAAACAAGCCAAGCAACGGCTTGTGGTCAGTCACCACGGTGAAGGGCCGCCCGTACAAGAAATCATGGAATTTTTTACTCCCTTCACGATTGCCAGACCCTCCTTGTCGATTTGCGAGTAGTTCCGCTCGGTTGCGTTGAGTGTCTGGGAAAAGTATGCCACTGGTACCTCTCTTCCATCCGGAGTTGGTGTCCCAGGACAGCACCAATTCCATAGGGCGAGGCGTCGCATGCTAGCACCACCGGCAGCCTCTCGTCGAAGTGTGCCAAGACGAGTTTGGAGACAAGCAATTCCTTGACTGCCTGGAATGCGGCCTCCTGGCGCTGGGCCCCCACGTACCCAAGGGGCCCGCTTTGTCCAGGGAGTCTGTGTAAGGGGCTCCGCTACCGCCGCCTTGTGTGGTAAGGAAGGAATGGTAAAAGTTCAATAGTCCCAAGAAGGCCTGAAGTTCAGTCTTGTTCTTGGGCGCTGGGGCATCACAAATGGCCCGTACCTTGTCCCCAGTCGGGTGGACCCCTTCTGCGTCCACCATAAATCCCAGAAAGTCCACCTGAGGCACTCCTAGTAGACATTTTTCCCGCTTCACCTTGAGACCCGCGTCTGGAAACGGTGCAGAACGGTGCGGAGGCGGTCCTCAAACTCCTCTGGTGTGGGCCCGGCAATCAACACATCATCGAAGAAGGGGGTGACGCCAGGATCCCTTTAAGGAGAGAGTCCATTAGATTCTGGAATATGCCTGGTGCCACGCTGACACCGAATTGCAGCCGCTTTACCCTGAACTCCTCTGTGCGTCACAATCGTCTGTGCCTCTGCTGTGGCCTCATCTACTGGCAGCTGTTGATATGCTTGGGCCAAGTCCAGCTTGCCAAAAATTTTCGACCCAGCCAGGGTGGCAAGAACATGGCTGACCACTGGCACTGGGTATGCATGGGCCGTGAGGGCCTTGTTATGGTACATTTGTAGTCTGCGCAGATGCGGACCGAACCATTAGGCTTGACGGGTGTGACGATTGGGGTTTCCCAGGGGGCATTAGGCACCGGCTCCAGCACTCCTTGCTCCACGACCGGTCCAATTCCTCGTCTATACGGGGTTTCAGGGCGAACGGGACCCGGCGGGCCTTGAGCCTGACCGGTCGTACTGCGGGGTCAAGCTGTAGAGCAATGGGGGGGCCCGTATACTGTCCAATTTCCCATCGAAAACCCCCGGAAATTCCTTGCATATGGCGTCCACACTTGTAAGCTGTGTTCACCCCGGTGACGGCTAGTCCCAGTGGTCCAAACCATGCCAATCCCAGTAAGCTAATGTAGGGGCCCTTGACCACCAGCAAGTCCAGTTGCCGCGTCCGCCCTCGGTATTGCACCCTGAAGGTC